CCGGCAGAACTGACGCCAGACGCAATGCAAGGACTTTCGCTAAAAGTTTGTATGATACGTTTAACACGGAAATGGGCCTCCAATTACGTATTTCACGGTTATCTCCTCTTTTTATACAGCAAGGATATCAGCCCTTGACCATTCCTTTAGGCAAAGTGCCCGTTAGCAGGGCTTTATTATAAATATCACAGAAAAAGTGCACGAAAAAATCCCATGAGGAGAGGAAAAACTCGATCGGTAAGCCATCCGGCCCGGGGCACTTTCCCTTGGCCATCCGACGCGCCGCCAGGGTTACTTCCTCAGCTGTGATGGGGCTCTCCAAGGCACGCCTCGTATTCAGAGGGATAAAGTTGGTAGAGTAGTCCCAGAATCGGTGCTCTTCAGCAAGGTTGGTTTCAAAGGACTCATAGGGTCGTCTGGTAGACACAATGTCCTTGAAATACTCCATGGCGTAGGAGCACAGATCTGCAGTTTCCATGGCTAGAGGGGCGTCAAGTGCAAACGGGTGAGTAAGCTCCCTCATCACTGGACCTGTTTTCCGAAGGATAAGGGATCTAAAGTTCTCTTTCGTCATTCTATCATGGCTTATTATTCCCTTAATTTTCAGACGCTCTTGCCAATCTGCTTGTTTGCTAATATCTAGTTCCTCTAATTCAGGAAGGGCCTTGATCCTCTTTGTTGACCAATAGTATTCTAGAAATGGGTCTGTGCCCACATAGGCTTCTACCTGTTCTATAATACTGATTAATTGTTTTTCCTTCCAATTCCGAGATGCCGCTTTCATACGCGAGAATTCGATCATAGCCGCCTGTAATATGCCGATGCCTGCGTCCACCCATTCCTCAATTTTTTTTTTTTTTTTTTTTTTTTTTGGAAAGCTTTTAGACGTACATTACCAAAATCATGGAACGAGGCCGGGGACCTCACAATTCAACCCGGAAGTGACCTGGCAGCCTTAGCCAGTTTCGCTTACTCGTGGGCCCTGAAGGGCATCCACTACTCTGAGATACACAATGGACCCTAACTGGAAACCGGGTCCAGCGTCCCATGATAATCTCTATGCTATACTTTCCAACTTAATCCTTGAAGCGCAGGTAAAATAGACTGACATTGGAGTCAAAACTATCAAAACTCAAGATTGTCATGAAGCACAAACTAACCCAGGACTGAGCTAAACCTAGCCTCAGTCTAAAGTATGTTTTAGCCACGAACAGAATGAAAAACACCCCTCTGAACTGAGCGTGGCCAAACCATTGTTACCGGCCCAGGTTTTGGCGAACCATATTGTATTCTTTCTACGCTAATCTGCCTGGATGATTCTTCTCAAACTCTGCTTAATCTGGCTGTGTTGGTGTCTGGTCGCTATATCCTCGCCTCTGAACACAGGCATTTCTTGCTGCCCAGATCACCTCCATCAATACTCCTCTGCAGCACAATGCAACATAACCACAACCTGACGAGTAGGTCAAGCCAGGGGGAAGAATACCTGTCAGCATCCAAGAATCAGTCCATTCTAAGGCTCCTCCAGACATAGCATTCCAATGACATTTCCACCAGATGAGCAGCTCATCTACGAGAGGGCAACAGAGCCAGAGATGGTGCATGTTTTCCCATCCCCAGTTACACCTCATACAACGAGTATCAATTTCCAATCCTCTCGAGGACAGCCAGGTTGCCGTTGCTGTTACCATCAAAGATTGAAGCCACATCATACTTGCCTGCTTCTGAACTGGATACTGAATAAGCGCTTTCCACAGAACACCCAGACTGCGGGGTGTTACATCAGTTAATTGGTGGAATTCCGCTCTTCTTATGGCCAATTCCTGTGGGGACTTATGAAGTTGCCTTTGTAGCACTTGAACCCCTAATTTTGGGCGGTACTGAATCAATGGCAGAGTCTTCCCAGGATGCTCCTGGTCTTCCCAGACCTGTAGCAGCGGTTCCTCCTCAAAACTAGATGCAAGACCCAGCAAAACGGTTTGGGACTTTCTGTTCTGCACGGCCTCAAAAACTCTCGCCTCCACCATATCATCAGTGGAATCAATCCTGTAGTTATCGTCTTCCAAGGTCAGTTTTCCTGATGTGCCAAATCCGCTGGAGAGCTTCCACTTCTGCACTCTCAGGCCCAAAGTTAGATCTGGTCCCAAGACTTTTAAAACTTGATTATGCCTTCCATCCCCAATGAGCCAGGTGCCTGCTGCATGTTCAGCCTCAGGTTGCAGTATGTTCACCCAGGTCACCGGAATGGCCACCTTCAAAGCATTGTAGTGTTCTTGGGTTCTGTGAAGACGCGGAAGGCGCCTTCTAAGCTGGGAGAGTGTTCTTGGCTTCTGTGAAGACGCGGAAGGCGCCTTCTAAGCTGGGAGAAGTCCAAAAAGGTTCCTCGCTCTTGATCCCAAATATCTTTGAGTTGAAGGCCGCCTTTCTTGATCCAGCTCAGCCCAAAATTACCTGCCATTTCAACAGCCGAGAAGGGGGCACCATCTTGCTGGGTGATGAACTTATTCTCAAATAATACTTGGTTAAGAGCCTCTAGCTTCGTCTTAGGTTCCTGGGACCTAGAAGGACGCAGCTTGTTCCATGCGCAGAGGATATTCCTCAAGTTCTCGATTGAGGTCTGCGGTTGCAGAAGGATGGAATAGTTAAACAAATCCATACCTTAGAGTGATCCTGCAGGTCCCACTCCAACCCTAAGACATATTCCGCCAGCTCCTTCCAAATCATCTCATCCGAAGCCATCATGGCCCTGACTGCCCATTTGGCAAGGAGGGCAGTGTTCTGTTGAAGGGGGTCCAGAATTTCCAGTCCCCCCTTCTCTCTTGAAGTAGCCACCACCTCCAAAGCCACTTTCGAAAGAAAGCCTTGGTCTGCATTGGCGTCCGGCTTCCACAAGTATCTTGATGCTGCCTTCTTTACTTTTTTATATGCTGAATCCCCCAGTCGATGTATGGATAGTGGGAACCATAGCAATGAGAAGGCTGCTGAGGAGATCACCAAGGCTCTCCCAAGGAGTGATAACTTCGTCCGCCGTTCCCGACCTGCAATACGTGCTAAAACTTTATTCGCCAGCAGGTTATCCTGTACCTTCTCGCAGTTTGATAAGGAGACTTGCAGACCCAAAAATCTGTCAGAAGAATTGGCAGGAACCCGACGCAGTCCCCAATCCACGCAAATCTCAAACAGAGGGGGAAGGAAGATTAAAGATTTATCACAGTTAATTGAGGCTTCAGACAAAACACAGTACTCGTCTAGGACACTACGCAATTCTAATAAAGGACCTGGGGAGTTGTCACAGGCCACCGTCAGATCGTCCGCGATAGCTCCACCTTTCCAATGGAAGGCTGGAGATAGACGCAGACCCTCTATTCGGGGGTTTTGTCTGATATTGGCCTGTAACACCTCCAATTGTAGGACGAAGATCAGGGGGGCCAGAGGGCATCCCTGACGCAGCGACCGAGTCAGGGGAAAGGTTTCAGATTGGAGCCCATTAACCAGTACCGACGCCGTTGCACGAGAATACATTTCTTTGACCCAAGTTCTGAATCGGTCCCCAAACCCCAGACGTATCAGGGAGGTGTTTACAAAAGCCCAACCCACTTTATCGTAGGCTTTTTCCATGTCAAGCATCAAAATGGCAACCTCCCTTTTTTCCTTTGCTATTACTTCCAGGGCTTGGACTGTCGAAAGAATATTGTCAAAAATGGACCGGCCTTTGATAAAGGCTCCCTGTTCTCTTCCCACTACCTCCGGGAGGATGTCTGAAAGCCTTAGGGCCAAAACTTTTGCCAATAGCTTATAAGAAACGTTCAGGACCGATATCGGCCTCCAATTACGTATTTCACGCTTGTCCCCTTTTTTGTATAGTAGTGGGATCATCCCATGTATCATCCCTTGCGGAAGGGTACCCGTCTGGAGGGCTTCATTAAAAATATCGCAAAAAAAGTTAACAAAGGAGTCCCATCAAGAGAGAAAAAACTAGATGGGCAAACCATCTGGCCGTGGGCATTTCCCTTTTGCCATCCGGTGGGCCTCCCGGGTAACCTCATCCACAGTGATAGGGTCTTCTAGGGATTGACATACTGCGCGGGAAATAGGCTTCAAGGGACAGTCCCAAAAGGAGTGGGACTCCGCCAGGTTAGAGTCAAAGGTATCAAAGGGTCTCCTAGTAGCAACAATATCTCTAAAATATTCCATAGCACATGCACACATCTCAACTGTGTGGGTGGCTGGAACTGCGTTCAGGGCAAAGGGATGAGCAATCATTAATCACTGGTCTTGATCTACTCAGGATCAAGGACCTGAAAGTCTCTTTCGTCATTCGGTCCAGGCCTTGTCCGGAGGGAAAGTGCAGTTTTTCAGATGGAAACCAAACAGCCATGAATTGAGAAAAGTGAAGGACGACTCTCCAGAACGGATAATGTTTTTCCCCTAATCTCTTCTTCTAAACCTTAAAATAAACGCGTAGTTAAACCACTAGTACTTTTCCACAGCCATTTGTTCTTACACGGCCCTAAACACTTTGCAACCTTTGGGGCTTGGCCTCTTCCGGAACTGAAAGGCTGGCATGCAACTTGATGAAAAAAAAAAAGTGCCTGCAGGCCCTGCACCAGTTCATTTTTTTGTTGGCACACTGGGCACAGTAGAAATTCACGGCGGGAAAAAAAGGGTTGGAAGTACTGGTGGTTTAAAGTGGGCAAAAGAGGAGTAGAAGAGACCGTAGTGCATTGTTGTAATGATGTATAGGTTGGTCACTGTTGGTGTTTTTTAGTGTTTCTTACTGAGTTCTTACTAACTTCTTAGTACGTACCCTTTCTTTTTGTCCCTCAAATCTCACTTGAAACTGCCCGCCTTTTTTGTGAATGTGTCCCGAGAGACCGTAGTGGAGGGTCGTCTTTTTAGGTACTTTTTAGTAGTGTCTAGTACCGTTTACCCTTTTTTTTTGGGTCCCTGAAATCTCCCTTGAAATTGCCCGCCTTTTTTGTGAATGTGTCCTGCTGCAGATTGCCGGAGCCTGGGAAGACCCAAATCAGGGACTTTCTTATTCCTAAGGTGAGCATCTGTTGCTGCTGTGTGTATGATGATGCTATGATCATGTTTTTTTTTTTTTTTTTTGACAAGGCTGTTTTTTCGGGTCGATACCCAACTCATGCCCAGGTACCTGCCCGGGTGCCCGGCCGGGCAGGGTTCCGGGCAGCCCCAGCACAAAAAATCAAAAATTCCCAAAAAAAAACATATCTTGTGTAGAATTGCAATACAAACGACTTTTGGCTGAGGGTCACATTAGAATTGGTCACTGAATCAGAGATAAAAAAGAATACTACAGAATCACACTAAGGCACTCCCCTTTCAACCCCTTTAGCCCCTTTAAAACCAATATATACCATACTTCAACCGCACGAGCTGCACATTCGTGCGGAGTTCCGTGCGGGGGGTGCCTGTGCGGAATCGTGCAGGTTTTTTATTTTTATTATTTGGGAGGGGGAACGGGGGGCCGTATGACAGGAAGATGGGGATATGGCGAGGAGAGGGGGATATGGAGAGGAGGAGGAGGAGGTGGACGAGGAGGACAATGAGGATAGCGAGGATGACGAGGAGTCGTCGTCGAGATGGGGGAGGAGAAGAGATGGACGGAGGGAAAAGAGGAAGGGCAGGAGGAGGAGGAGACATGGACGGCGAGGAAGGGAAGGACACGAGGAGGCATGGAAGATGAGGAAGCACGAGGAGGAGGAGGAGACAAGGAGGATGAGGAAGGGCAGGAGGAGGAGGACGAACAGGTGGAGGAGGAGGAGGAGGAGACATGGAGGAAGGGGAGGAAGAGCAAGGTGAAGCAGTACTCCTGTAATTGTTTTTTTCATCTCGCTTATAATTTTGACGGGGGGCCTCAAACGCACCGTTTCGACCCCGGCCTTTTTTTTTCTGAGGGGGGTGACGGGTCGTTCTCTGCACACGTCGTGCGCCGCACGGGATCGGTTGGGCGCGTGCGCGGCACGTAGGGAACCGCCCACAAGACGTGCACTTGCAAGTATGATATATACCCCACACCCCCCCCCCCCCCCCCCCCCCCCCCCTGAAAGCGAACTCGCAAAGAAAGAAATGAGCTCGGATTTGGGGTCGTCTGGGAGAGCGCAGAAAACCAAAAAAATAATAATAATAGTAAAAAATTCTCTTTTTTTTTGCACGCCCGGGTACCGCGGGCATCCGACCCCCGGGTGCCCGGCCGGGCATGAAAATCTTCCTAGTAATTTGGACCATTTCGCGATTTATGTGTGTCATCCTTGCACAGGGGCCATGCTAATCTTCTCTGTATCGTCTCAAATTGATGTGATGTTTCTTTTTGTTTATGTTTTGACAAATTCATCGGCTAGTTAATTTTTTCCTGTTTGAGGCTTGTGTGTTCTCTCTTGTATTGTGGATGATTAATCTTTTTTTTCTTCTTTGTTCTTTGTTGTTTTGTTTGGGGAGTCTGGGGGAGGGGGTTTGAGTTGTCGCAGATCGAGCCAGATCCCTAAACTTGTAGAAATTGCTACTGTGAGAAATCTGGCATCCGGGCCGACGGCCTGGATTGTCGCACGGTCTTAAACCGCCAGGACCTTTCCCCGCTTGAAAAACAAATGCCCGCCGTTTAACACGGGAGGCGGTTGGGTTTGACACTACCGGTGGGAAACGACTGGTGGCGCCAGCCAGAAAGAGGCCTGCGCCGCTTTGTTTTTTTTTGGCGCGCAGGTCCATTTTAGGCTGGGCACTGATAGCTGAGAAAGGTACTGGCGGTTTAAGATTTTAAGACCGCGGCAATCCAGGTCATATGCGGTCCTACCAAGGTGGGGTCAACGTGCGATCTTAAGATGTGAAGATCGCGCGATGATCTTTCCATTGGTCCGGTACGGGGTGGGCAATGGCCATTAGAAGTTTAGCAGCGCAAAGGGCGTTATGGCTGCCAGGCCTGGGAAAAAAACGGTCTCGGTCTCCTATTGGGCGCAGCAGTTCGGCCCTTTCCAGGCGCATATCCTAGGCGGCGCATAGCTTCTTTTTTGAATAGCGGACAAGGCAACACACACTCGCGACACGAACGAGACAACACACACTCCCACGGACGCCCACCCGTGCAAGCACATGCACAAACACACAAACACGAACACATGCAAATGCATTGTAGACAGGCTGTCGGGGTTCAACCTCCTGATTGGCGCGTATG